AACTTTACCTTCCAGGCTGCGTGGCCAAATCCTCTGATAAAATGACCTGCGATGAATTTAATCGAAGCAATATAATATCACTAGCGGAGTGTTGCACAAAGAACTGATCAGTTAAACTTAAAAAAGAGTTACCTGTACATTATGTATATACGCACGGCTCCACAATGGCTCAAAGACTAGATTCGAAAACCTTAGAACTGTGAGATTTTCAATAAGATTCCTCCCTAAAAGATGATCAATCCTGACAACAGAATGATCTCACTCATAAATTATTTATCGATAATTCTGAGCGCGCAAGAGATGACGTTTAGAAAGAGAGGGAGAAGGTCGAGTGGCCCGATATAAACACCTGTATAATTGCTTTTCCTGAAACTTGGAAAGAAGAGACTGTGTCAGCCTATGAGAAGAGAGTGCATCAAATCCAAATGGTTTTTCAATTATACACACGATTCCAGCCCTTTGGGTCTGAGACACAGCTAGCAAGACATGATGCAACATCCAGAAGTGCTCTTGTGGAACAGAGAGGTAAAAGATCCTGTTTGATTTTTCCCCCCCTGTGGTACAACCATAAGCTGCTATAGAATCAGTTGCCAAAACGCATAGACCATATAAGGCATCAAGTAGGTAGACAAGCATGCATTCGAGAAGAAATTGCTTTTTCAACACACGCCCCCCCCCCCCCCCCAACAACCAAAAAAAAAAAAAAAAACACACATACACTAGTGAGATTTATTCTAAATTACCTCAATCTGCGTCATATGATAGTTCAACTTGGACATCCCATGTTTATTGTCATAACCTCCATTGATGTAGTATGTTCTACTAAGGAAAGCATCCATTTTGTCCCCACAGTTCTCTCTGACAATTTTTTTTTGGGTATTTAAATTGACGTAAAGATCATATAATATTGAATAAGCCATAATGTAGAAATGCACGAATGGAAATGGATATCATTCTTCCATAATTGCGACAGAGGAAATGGTTGACCCGACAGTGCAAAATTTCACATGAAAAGTCAACGTTTTGGGACGGAAGAATAACCGCAAATCATGAGGAAGCAGTTAGTTTCTCAAGTTAATTGATTAAGATGAAATGTAAATGATATCTTCCTGTAATTGGAAACGGGGCACAGAAGGTAATGACTTGGGTAAGTGACAAGAGTAACATACTGATGATCAACTCGACATGTTAGTGTTGAAGCTATGATGGATTGTAGGTCTTCGTCAGTCATATTCTTTCTTGAGTATCCAAAAATAGCAACATTCTGCAGACATAGGAATGCAAATCCAACAAAATATTTGAAAATTTTAGAATAGGTAAAGATGCAAGTAAGTGTAACACCAGCAACCACTCCTCATGACAAACCCCAACTAACTTATCAGTCAGTATAAGGGAAAATGTTAGTTTAGAAACTACATGATACCAGAAGGTCAAGAATCCCATACCATAACAAATTATATTAATGAAATTGAGGTGGGAAAACAAATTACGATAAAGATAGTTCTGAAAGTAAATCTGCCCAGGGCAAAACATTCATATTTTCATGTATCAATGTGAGCTTTTAACAAGCATGTATAAGAAGTAAGAACAGTTAAGTTAAAAATAAAGAAAAGCTGCTGTACCTCAGGAAGGAAGCACTATAGTACAGAGCAAATAATGCAGGAGAAAATTTTCCCCCTTGCTAGCTCACCAGTAGCTCCTATAACAGCAATGCAAAGTGAGGGTGTCCTACTAACATCAGTGGCAGTACTGGGGGAACTTGTATGTAGCCGAGGCGGAGATTCAATGGAGGTGACCGTATCGGAGAGAACATTATGCTGAAGGTTTGTTGAAAGACTTCAATGTGCATGGATGCTGTAAAAGTAGCTTTAGGAATGATCTTCTTTTAAAAGGGAAAAAAAAAAAATCCATTTTTCTTATTTTATTTAATTATTTCCGCTTAGTCTGAAACTTCAATCTTGAATAAATTAAGTTTCCGAGCAAATTATGAGACGCAAAATGCCGTGGAGATAATAAGGGAACTCTCAAAATTGGTAAAGGCTAACCATCAGAAACATCGAGGTTTGAGGACGAAGCTGGAGTTGGTCTTTCTTCATTTGAAAATCCTGTTTCCAGGGTGCAGGTCAACTGACTTCTATTTTGACTTCTCGATCTCTTAGACTCCCTAGCTGGTGGACATTTTTCACTCTGTAGATGGAAATTCAACCTCTCAAGTATCCATGATTTTAAACCACGGAATCTTCGGCACATGTTCGTGTCTGCACCACTTAGCCTGACACGACCACGAAAGTAGCTTGCAGCAGCCTGCAACTAACGAGGACAACAATGAAACTCACTGCTAGCACCGATTTTTGCCAAGCCATCAACATTTAGAAACAATGGCATTAGGAAAAACTATCTTCAATTTTTTGAATCACTTCATTTTTTCACATTGAGCTTCAGATTCCAAGCCCAACCAAATTACTACCCAGAGAGTTTGTTTCCCTATTCCACATCAGAAAACAAGCAATAAGTAGGCAATGAATCAACTCACCGGACAGCTACGAACGGTGATTCTGAGACCATCGGAGCAAATATGTCTCGGTCTTAAGATTGAAGATTCTGAGCAAGTTGCCATGGTAGAAGAAAAGGACATGGCCGACATATTTCGATGAGTTTGGAATCTCTCCGTTAAGACTTCGCACGTCAATTCTAAGACTTGAAATGGAAGAAGGTTGCAATCGGAGCTCTTGGCCCCAGAAGACGGAGAAACAGTGTTGACCGTTATTCGGAGAGGCAGATTATTGATCGTAGGATTGGGAAGTTTGGTGGGGATTTTGCAGCATGATTATGTACGATGGTAGCAAACCTTGCACTTTGCCCTAAGGTCTGTTGGAGGAACTACGATCCTCACAATAGTTGTACTGTGGCTGCCAAACTCCTTTTCTCTGGCCCCCGCCCTCTGCCAGTCTGTCGGCTTGGTCCTTCCACTAACCGCCATAACGACGTCGTTAGAGTTCCCGCTCTCAGCATCCACTCCAGAACATGGGAAGAAGCCAATGCCTGTGGAAACGTCCTCGTCATCTTACGCCTTCGACGTGAGATTGATACGCGTTGATAGATAGCATACATCTTTATCAAATTATTTGATTTTAAAACATAAAAACATCAACATATTTTTTACCAATTAATTTAATTTAAAATTATTTTCATGACGTCAATCATAAAATTATTTTTGCCTTCATTTTAATTTGGAGGACAATTACATGGCACATGATTTACTTCTTCACTTCTCAATACAAAGAGTTGCGAAATTAATTTTGCTAGGTTAACAAAATTAAATAAGTTACTTAATCTTAACAAATGTAATCTTAGCTAACATTAAATTATATAGGTTAGATGAATTAGTTTGAGAAAAAAAATCAAGATATAAAATCAATTAAAATTTTATACTTTCTAACTAACTTTTATATTTAATAGTAGAGGAGATTGTTATATAAGAGTACTAGAGTTATTATGATATTGGCTTATTTATTATATGGTTTTTTATTTTATTTTCTCTCCTCTCATAATCAAACCGCCCCCCTCACCCCAAAACCAAACGAAGGGTTGAAGAAAACGGGTAGCCCACGACAGCCGGTGGCCCATATTCCTGGCTCCTGGGAGATGGAGTTTTGTATAGCTTGCCTGGCAAGACACAACGATCACATGACTCGGGCTTCTTTGGTATACCAGGTGTTGTTTGGTATGAGAGAAATTAATAAAAGAGGAAGGGAAGAAAATTTTTAATAAAACATAATATAAAAAGATAATAAAATTAATTAAAAATTTTTAACCCCATTTTTTATTTTTTTACATTGAGTTCATTAAAATTTCTTTTCTCCTCTTCTTTTATTTTTTATTTTTCATATCAAACAGACCCTTAGCGGACAACAAAAAAACCGTTTAAAATAACTTATATGTGATGTGCAGAATAAGAAGTAAAAATATGAAAAGAATTTTATGTTGATTTTTTTTTTCCAAAATTAAGATTTAAGACTTGTATCAAATATTTGAAAAAGGATGCTCTAGATCTAGCAAGGTCAATAAGGCAGCATTGAAGAGGGCTCTTTTGAGCACTATTATCAAACTCGCGAGTTGACTCTCTGAGTTTAATGTTTTTACGTTTTCAGCTAAATTTTTGAATTTGATTATGTTTAGTGACTTTATATATGATTTTTATAAAAAAAATTTTGTTGAATATGATAAATTATGAACATTGATAGATATATAATTCAATTATTTAAATTTAAAATATATTTAAATGAAATTGTTCGCGTTTTTTATATATTAATTATTTGATTATATACTTTTAATATCAGTTTATTAATAAAAATAAACTCTTATGAGTTCACGATTTGAGTTTACGATCCGAATTTATATTATTATTACGAGTTTGTTTAAATTTGTGAATTTGACAACTTACTTTCAAGTCTTACGAGAAAATCCCAAGGAATGACTCATTTCTTTAATGCTGACTTTTCCGCAACACACGAGCCTCTGCTTGATTCGTTGTGAATTTCCCCGTCTTATCTGTTTATGAATTGGTTTCCTGCCTCTCCATAGCATGAGTTCTCGGTCATTTCATTCCTCACATCGTATCTTATGATCACCTGTTTGCTTCCAATGCGTCTTTCTTCCATCTTAATGTTTTAAGTGTTTCCGTGAGCTTCATCCCCCGTTATTATTCACAATTTTATATGCCAATATTAGTCGAACTCAACATTCTAGTAATAAATTGAACCACACGACGTTCGATTATAACAAAATTTATATCCTTACCCTCTTGTAATTTAAAAAATAATAAATGTAGCCAACAGTAATTAATCTAATGACGAACTTTTATAAACGTTCTCTAAATCTAAGACATGTCTTGATTTTAATAAACTCTCAAAACTCAACTCATCAAAAAAATTTTATAAAAAAATAATAAATGTGTAATATTTTAATTAGTCTATTTACACTTCGAACCAGGCATTCTTGTTTTATGCGGCTCTGCTACTATTGCACTATATTTAAGAGTTTACGATTTCAATTAGGAAGCGTCTTTCAAATACGGCACATGGAAATTTGGAGTTCTATTAAAAGGATATCGTTTCTAAAGTGGCTACAATTATTGGCAAACCTAGATATTTAAAAAGAAAAACAGAGAGACGAACAAGTTAGATCCATATATATATAATTTGTCGTGATTACTATATTTCCTTTTTCCACGTTCAGATCGGTACCCCATTGTTATTTTATCCGCTTGCGCCGCTGTTCATCCCCCATGGCCAACATAGCTGAAAGCTGGATGAATGTGTTCAAAACACCAAAGGTGATGTGGAGACAGATGGGGAAGGACACAACCACCAATCAATCGGTAATTAAATAGTAATGCTAATTCAGATTTTCACCATTCACCAACACCCCCACCCCACCAACCATCAAACCTCAATAATGAAATTTATTGGCACTAGAAAAAAGTAATTTTAAAGAATATTTTTATAAATTGAGACAAAATTTTTTTGCATATTTACTTGTATATGATAAAATTATTTTTAAAATTATAATTAAACATTCATTAGCCTGAACTCTGCCATCTGCTTGAACCCCAATACTGAATGGTCAAGGTGATTTGATGCTACGCGATGCTCGAATCGTAGGACGGTCCCCTCTTTGTAATTTGATGTTACTTCGTGCTGGAGTATGGACCGAGCACTTTCTTTCATGCTCTGAAGTTATTCTATCACTCTGATAGTCTGATGGTCAAAAAAGAAGTTACTCTATCACTCTACCAAAAAAAAAAAAAAAGAAATTAGCCATTATTGTGGCTCTGGATTCTTACAGGTGGAAGGCTGCTTTTGAGCTTTGACGCTCTGTTTGAAAAAGTAGACTTCCTTCGTATCGAAGACACAATCCCCACATTGGGAGGGTGAAGTCAACATTTTATATTTTTATGCTTAATTTCGTGATGATGGCGTCCTCAGCTGAAATGTTATAAAGCAAGAAAAGGAGTCCTTACTCTGCTCATCGTTTTTTTTTGTTTTGTTTTAATTATCGTATGAAGAGGGACCCCTGAAGCTTTGAAAGAGATAAGAATTGGATCAAGAAGCCAATTCAACGTGCTAATCCGCCGTCTATTATCAGGTTTAGGTCACTCACTATTAATAAAAAAAAAAAATTGATACAATTACAGTAAGTCCATTATGATGTCGGACTTTGTTGTGTGAAAGCGACCTCCTTTGGTATTTTTATTTTCTATTGTCTTCCTTTCTCTAAATCCGATCGGACTCTTAACTTGATCAGCTTTGAGTAGATAAGGCTGGGGGATGTGTCATCTCCTTTGTTGAAGATTACTGGTACCCCAAAAGGCTCTCAAGTTCATTTTTCTTTTTAAATTTTCATGAAACATGCTTAGTTATGATTATCGGCTTTTTTCCTTGTTCGATATTACTTTTCCGGATGTTTGATCATTCCTGAGCCTGATCGGTTTAACGTTGATGACTTTTTCATCTCAACTTTGGGTTTTATCTGTGGCTAACTGCATAATTCAGTATGCATTAATGGCGGGTGTTTTCTGTCTCTCTTTTGTCCTGAAAATTCTTGAATCCTCTCAAATGGGTCTGTATCTATGTTCTGAAATACGATCGTCCTTTTTGTGCTACTTCGCGAGACAGGATTCTCTGATATAAGCTGTCTACTTATTTAATTTGCGAGATTATGCCACGACCCACTCTTTTCCTTTGTGTTTCCGTAACTGACTGTTTTTCTTCCATAAATCGGCTGCAGTTTCCCTTCGAACCACCTTCTCTGATTTGATTTGATTTATGAGGGATAATTTCCACCCTTTCGATTCAATCAATGTTTATTAGCTGTCGTCATAAAATGATGAAGGGCATACAATTTGAAGGAGAATTTTTATACAATCCCAATTCCTTTTGTAGCATTTAAAAACAGATAATTGATGGGCGTGATTAAGAACTATGATGTGATTTCCATTCACCTGATCGACGACAAACAGTGCAATTCTGGGCCTTACTAACTGAAACATCATTTTTTTGCAGATAACTCTTTTGTGCTTAGAGCAATAAACATTAAATCCTCAAGGAAGCTGGCAAATGGGGTCCGAATGTCCTCCAGCACCAGTAACAGTCCATATAACTGGTTTTAAAAAATTCCATGGAGTTTCAGAGAATCCAACAGAGACCGTTGTGAATAATTTGACAGAGTACATGAAGAAGAAGGGTTTGCCCAAAGGTTTAAATATTGGGAGCTGCAACATTCTTGAAACTGCTGGTCAAGGAGCACTTGGTACCTTGTACCAGACGTTGCAATCTGCCATTAGTGCCAAAAACTCTGAACCTTCGAATTCCAGAAGAGTTATTTGGGTGAGTTACCCGTATAAATTTGTAGAAGTACAGTTATGTTGATTGATTCACTCTTCTTAAGTTTATGTAGTCAGATCCATATTTATACTTATCAAGTTTCCCAACGAATCTTGTTCTGGTACTCATGTTTTCTGGTGAAAAATTGTGAATAATTTTTTTTTTGGTCAAAGAAGAAAAAAAAAAATCGTGACTAAGACATCACCTCACATGGTAAAGAGATCAATCCAGCACAATAAAAGTGGAGGAACCTTTTACTGCTTTTGTATTGAGTGGGGTTGAACTCATCACAGAGAGTTCCATGTCACCGCTGCTCTATCAAAGTCCGCTCACCTAAAGCTTTTTGGCTGAAATAGTTTTTGTGTGACGCACTGAGAACTGATTTATGCAATGTACGAACCATTTCCAGAAAAGATAATCAGCTGATGACTTGCCTTTGATTAAAGCGCCGGTGACAGTCAAATAATCATGTCCTAGACTCCTAGATATGAAAATCCTTTAAGAGAGAATGGTAAGATACCCAGTTGGCGGGGATCTTGCCTTGAATCTGTTGTTATGTGAGTACATTTGTATCTCTAAAACCCAGCGTCTCATTTTCTGACTGTATATGATTTTG